TGAGCTCAATGCCTAATAAAAAAGTCACACTAAACTTGCTCTCAAACCCAGGTTTCCATAAAAGTCACAAAAAGAAACAGGCAGAACTTCTCTTTCTTTTGCTACACAGACTTGATTTCCGGAGCTCCAGGCAGGCTCACGTGGGCCCAGCCTGCTCTCTTCAAGGTTCCTACGGTGATGAATGAGATAAGAGGGCCCGTGAGCAGTGCAGCATCAGAACCAGGGCAGCTCTGACCATCACTGCAGCTGAAACTCCGGGTCCTGTGACGCTAGTGTTGCTGTCGACAGAGCCCCATTTCTAACCGTTTTGGACAAGAGGGAACAGGGAGACGTGTCCGCCTCCTGAGCAGCTCAGAGTCAAGCAGCAGCTGAGGCAGGTGGGCCCAGCGACCACACGACTGCTGAGTCGGTGACTAGGCTTCCACGAAGCGAACGAGGAGGACTTTTTGGCTCAGGGACTGGGAAGAAGCACATGAATGCAAACAGCCGCAGGAGAGCGGGATGAGGGTGGCTGTGCTGGAAGACAAACGGACATGTGTCTGTCGTCTAGCATGAAGTGAGAGAGGACGGCAGAGGCAGCCCTGGGAGGGGTGCAGAGGATGTGCAAAAAGAAGTCCGAGGGTCGAGGAAACACAAGCCATGTAAGGAGCATGCCGAGCACAGGAGAGAGGAGCAGAGCATGACACACACATGCACACACGGGAATGAAAGGAAATGTCCTAAGCAGTTGGGGTGAAAGACAAGGATGACAGCGAGTACACAGGAAGGGGCAGGAGGTCACTAAAGGAAGTGGTGCAGTCTGTAGTCTTTCAGAGGCAGACATTAGGGGATTTATTGACAGAAGCATAAACATCGCTAGAACATTAAATGAATTCACCGCTGCGGCACTCACAGAGGAAGATGAGACAGGTGCCCGCAGCAGACATACACTCCCCAGAGAAGCGGGATGAAATGCCGCCAGAAATCAGAAGTGTACCAAAACAGGTGATCAAGAAATCTGAACCTCTGCAGACTGCCCAGGCTGCCGGCACCTATGAGCTGGCTCCCACCGAGGGAGAGAAGGGAGGGAAATTAACATGCAGCAGACGGACAGTGAGCCCTGCGTGCAGGAAGGCCTGGCCGACTGGTGCTAGAGAGACACACACCTACACTGGGCAGGAAATCACCACCTGGTTTAGCTCGGGAGGCCTCTGCTATTCCAACAGCAGCCAGATGTTTGGAGATCAGGGCAGTTCCACTGCTGCTGCCCACAGCTGCTGGCTGCTGTGGCCACTCAGACACTGTGCAGGTCCCTTTCTACCTTTGCCAGAAGAGCTCAGCCCCAACTCTCTGGAATGCTCTTCAACTCCCAGGAGCCTCCACGCTGCACCTTCGCCACCGTCCCCTGCTCAGACCCCGCCTCTCTGAAGGGGCAGCCCTGCAGGAAACAGTCTTACCCAGGGGACGTGCTAGGCTATTCATTCGCCCACACTTCTCTTTCTGTTATCACACAGACCAGCTGACCTTCCCATGCTAAGAAACAAGTCCATCCATGCTTCTGAAATTAGAACAGAGCCTTCGGGTTGGGGAGCGTTCAGCATCTACATGGAAACAGACTCTGGCTCTGCCTAAACAGAGGCCATCGAGGTCGCCTGGCACACAAGCAGGGTCACACTGAGGGAACCCTGCCTCCCCTCTGTACCGCCCTCCACTGTGACACAGGTGCTTTGACCCCATGGGACATGATGGCATGTCCCGCTCCTAGAGGACTAGGGTCAGGGCCGTCCCGGTCCCCGGATTCTGCCCCAGCCCCTCTCCTGCTGTCCTCTGCCGACCAGCCCATCACCCCTTCCCTCAATACAGCCCCTGCGCCTCTTCGCCATATTGACTCACATATTCCTGCTGTGCCTAAGACAGGGGCTGCTGCTTCTTCCACATGACGTCCCAGAAACCAGTGACACACAGTGAAGAACATCCTCTTGGAGGGTTTGCTACGTGCTTGATGCCCAGTAAAATTCAACATTTGGTCCCTCTTGTAAGCTTACAGGTCATGCGTTATGGTCCGGTCACCGGTCACACTTTCACAGTTTAAGGTGTTTCACATGGGCAACGCTCCACTGAAGCTTTTTCCTGGTCAATAGCGGACATGCAGGCAGCCGAGCACGCACCTCGCGTGACGGCCACAGCGCGACCTCCGGCCAGCCCACTAGACTGGCTGCGGGCAGAGAGTTTGGGGCCTTGTTAGGGAGGGACCTGCCCTCCAGCTTCAGAGCTGTGGGATGGAAGTGAGTCCTCCTCTGGTCTCGGAGGCGACGGCGTCGGCACCCTGGTCAGACTCACCAGTGCTTCTCAGCCCTCTGAGTGAACATTCCTTTGTTGTGATATATAACTGCAGAACTCACTTAGAGATTAAAGAGAGATCTAGTCTTTTTCATTTATTTATTTATTTTATCCTCACCCGCGGACATTTTCCCATTTTTGCTCAGACAGAGTGGGAAGGAAAGAGAGGAAGAGAGAGAGAGAAACATCGACATGAAAGGGACACATCGAGTGGCCGCCTCCCACACAACCCCAACCAGGGCCGGGGACAAACTGCAACCGAGGTACATGCCCTTAGCAGGAACTGAACCCGGGTCTCTCTGGATTGTGGGCCAATGTTCTAACCACTGAGCCAAACCAGCCAGGGCAGATCTAGTCTTTTTTGAAAAAATGTTTTATAAAAGAAACAAGTGACTGCAAATGAAAAGTATTTCCTTTTAGCTAACGTATATGTAAGCGGTAAGAAAAATTGGGATTTATTGGAAAAATTTAAAAACTATGGGCTCATATATGTATTAAAATGTAGATTTTAATGTATTTTTGTTCCATGATCAAAAAAGTGCTTTAATGACCTGATGTTTAGAATTCTTTACCTTCATGCTTTAAAAATTATCTGTTGGGCCCTGGCCAGTTTGGCTCAGCGGTTAGAGCGTCGGCCCGTGGACCAAAGAGACCGGGTTCGGTTCCTGCTAAGGGCACGTACCTCGGTTGCAGTTTGTCCCGGCCCTGGTTGGGGTTGTGTGGGTGGCAACCACTCGATGTGTCTCTCTCACCTCGATGTTTCTTTCTCTCTTCCTCCCCCCTCTGCCCGCTCTATCTGAAGATAAAAATGCAAAAATATCCAGGAGTGAGGATAAAAAAAAAAAAAAAGAAAGAAAAAGGAAAAAAAAGTTATCTATTGGTTTACTTTTATAATTTTGGGGTTTGTTTTGAAATAAAGAGATAAGAGAAAAAGTTTCAGGCTTCTATTTATAAGTTCTCTGCAAGAAACACATTATGAGTGTATATCATTTTTTTTTTTTTTTTTAATCCTCACCCGAGGATATTTTTCCATTTTTTGTTCAGATAGAGCGGGAGGGAGAGAGAGGAAGAGAGAAAGAGAGAGAAACATCGATGTGAAGGGACACATCGAGTGGCTGCCACCCGCACGACCAACCAGGGCCGGGGACAAACTGCAACCGAAGTACGCGCCCTTAGCGGGAACCGAACCCGGGTCTTTTTTTTTTTTATCCTCACCCGAGGACATTTTCCATTTTTTTTTGTTCAGGTAGAGTGGGAGGGAGAGAGAGGAACAGAGAGAGAGAGAGAAACATCGATGTGAAAGGGACACATTGAGTGGCTGCCACCCACACGACGACCAACCAGGGCCGGGGACAAACTGCAACCGAAGTACGCGCCCTTAGCGGGAACCGAACCCGGGTCCCTCTGGACCACAGGCTGACGCTCTAACCGCTGAGCCAAACTGGCCAGGGCGAGTGTATATCATTTTTATTCTAAATAAATAAAAAGGCAAAATTAATATAAATTATCACAATATTTTTACTTTAAAAAATGCTTTTAAAGGACCAGAAGCACCTTGATGTGCTCTGGAGAACCCAACCCGACAGACACAATGTGCGGAATCAGACCAGCTCGTGCAGAAGCCTCTTGTTCAAAAAGCAGGGAAAAGCCATTTTCCAGTCTCTCTCCTGACCTGTCACGGGGTTTGAATTTGCGATTTAATGGGGCTCACTCTTGGGCACAGGAAAGGTTTAGGCCACGGCAGGACTTGCACGCGGGTCACAGCCGACCTGACCCTCCAGCAAACATGCCAGAGCCCATGGGAGTGGAGGGTGGCAGGGCTGTGGGGCAGGCTGCAGGGAGGCCGGGCAGGTCTGGGCACCAGGGGTCAGAGAGTGGAGCTGACAATTTGTCCGGGGAAGGTGACAAGGGGTGGAGGCGAGCCAGAGTGTGAGCTGAGGCTCCGTGACCCAGGGGTGTCTCGCCTGCACTCATTGTGAGGACCCCAGTGCCCTTTCCCCAGCCATTTCCATTCCAGACAAAACAGCATGGCCATGTCTGAGGCCCAGCCCCTCAGCTGACTGCTGCCCTGATCGTGGGCACCAAAACGGAAGAAACAATCCCCCACTTTTCTCTCATTAAATCCAAAGGTGAAGCAACATCTATAAACAAGGTCCACTGGAAGGACCACCTGTCCCTGGGAGCCAGGCATGGGCCCAGGGGGAGCAGGGCTGGAAGGAGGGGCTTGACTGATCATCAGTTCTGTGCGGTGGGAGGGGCAGGCGGCAAGGGACCCCGCAGACTGACAGAAAACAAGCAACTATGCGCCAGGGCTGCCCCATGGGTGGGGTTCCTTAAACACCGGGTTCAGAGAGCCCAGGGGCCTCTGAATAGCTGTCGTTGGGAAGGCAGAGACTCTGAGGACAGGGCGTTTGACCTTTCAAGGTCCCTGTGGCTGCAGTTCCGCAGAGAGGCGGGAGGAGTGGGCAAAGCCACAGGAGTTGGCTTTCAGTGGCCGGTGAAGAGGCACTCAGCAATGATAATGATGTCCCCACTGTGTGGGAGCAGGACTTTCTTCTGTACCAAGCTGTCTCAACAACAGGCCATTAGCAGGAGAACAAACAGTTCCACTTAACTCGGGGTGTAGCATTACCTGAACATCATGAAATATCACAGCGTCTTTCAAGAAAGGAGACCCTTACCTCATTTGCTGTGTTGTGTGTTCCAACGATTCGGATGAAGGAGGCAGGCTGTCTCTCAAAAGTTACTGATTGCCAGGACCTGTGGGAGGAAGCACAACCGTTTGCCTAGTCAGAGGGCAGTTAACCGAGTCCTCTGACAAGGAAGGCCGCTTGTCCTCTGCTGGGGAGGCCTGTGCTGTAGGAGGGCTGGGGGACAGGGCCAGGGCAGGCTGCACGGAATGTGTGGCCGAGGGCAGCAGCAGGTCCCTTGTGTCCCATCAGAGCCTACGTCTCATTAAAGAGGTGCTCCTACCTCTGTGAAGGTGTGTGGTTCTTACAAGCTCTTCACACACAAGTGCAAAGTGCCCACCGAGCTTGACAAGAACTTGACAAGAGTGTGGCCAAGCATAAAAGGGACCAGGTCAGGGAATTTCATGAAACACATCTCCTTCTCCGTGAAACAGGCCTGGTCCAGGGGCCTATGGCTGAACAGCCACATCTGAGCAGTCACAAAACTTCACTGGAGGGCTCTAGGAAGACAGTTTTGAATCAAGGCGGGACTGTGGGTGGGGTAGAAGGGCTGTGGAACCTCAGCACTGTAGTTAGAAAAGTGGGGATCACTCACTGTGGGGTGAACCCCAGCCCTCCTGTCTGAACCCCTCCCCCCCATGCAAGGGATGGCACCTGGGGAGGAAGAGGCAATTTCCCACAGGCGTCCACCTCCCTTTCCAGCTTCCAAATGCACCCCAGACGTTTTATTCTCGACTCCCTGGGCTCTGAGTGGGCCCCAGAGCAGCCCCAGTATTTTGAAGGCAGTTCCTCATGGGTCAGCAGGGCTAGGCCAGCTCATTTGAAGCCCGGCGGAACCACCTTGAACCCGCGAGGAGGAGCTGCGCCCCTGGTTCACGGCTCCCAGGCGTCAGAGTGCAGAGTGCACGGGAGGAAGCCCAGCGCCCACCGCGCAGGCTCAGTAATGCTTTCTGCGAGGAACGTGAGGAGCTGGGGTTGTTGCCGCCCCTCCTCCGCTTGCAGTGGGGAAGCCGGCTGCTGGAAGCTGCTTCCCGTACCGGTCTCATTACTAGGTGAGCCACCAGAGAAAGTGTATGTGTTTGTGGTTGTGTTCCCCTCTGGTTTCAGGTGTTCCATCTTCTCTATGAGCTTCCCACTGAGACTGATTCACTGCTGCCTGGACACCAGGCCCCTTAAGGTCATTAAAAAGCCGTTACCATCCTGTGTGCACAGTCTATGCCTCCGAAAGCAGTTTTCTGGAAACAGACAAGAAAAATCCCTCTCCTTGTAACAACACCATTACTCATACATGAAGGTGATGCCATCTGACCGGCCCGAGCCCGCGCTCTTGGCTTGTGCTCTGTGGGGGACTGTCTGCTCCCAGACCCACAGGGGTCCTTGGGGAGTCTGCTGGGAGGGTGTGGCCTGTGGGGCTCTCACAGGCCTGGCTGCCACTTCCTGGCGAAGCCATGGAACTAACTAACGAAAGACTCATGTCCTTCCGGCAGGTCCGGGGAAGCAAGGGGTCCACTGCGTGGGGCCCTGCCTCTCAGACCCCCATCCAGGAAAGGGAAGCGGGCCTGGGATAAGTGACAACACTAGGCTCCAGTCAGTTTCACAAACAGGACTGGGGTGCAGAGGGTGGGTGTGGAGAAGGTAAAGATTTGTTCTTAGCTTTCTAGCCCTAAGCCTATCAAAAAAATCTTCAAGTGCTCCCGGGAGTAAAGGTGAAACTTGACCCTTTTAGGCTCAGGGTCCTCACCAGCCTGTGGCCCTTAGAGTGCAGGCAGCCGGCCAGCCGCTGGAGGCCCCGCCCTCCCTCCCTCCACAGGACCCGCAGGCTCTGGGAAGGAAGTGAGGCCTCGCTGGGTTCGCCCTCCTTCCACCTGCTGCCACTCTGGCCATCTCCCTCTGCCCTTCCCCCGACACCATGCCAGGTGTCTGCAGTGGGCCCAGCGCTTTGGCACCACTGCCCCTTGGGGAGGCAGGGCCCGCAGGGCAGCAGCCTGAGCAGGGGGAGCATCTGAGGAGTAATGAGATCCAAAGGCCTCCATTTAATACCAACCCTCATTACATCACACTAATATCTAGTCACATTAGAGTTCATTTTCACTGACACAGCTTGAGAGGTGAGTAGATGATTCCATTTTCAGCAAAACTGATTCCAACCCTAGGACCAAAGTATCAGTAGGAGGAAAGGTGGTTAGGACGAGGTGATGAGCATCTCTCCCTCCTCAAATATCAGGTTCCGTGTCCCCCAGCTGCTCCCAACCAGCCTGGGGCTGCTGGACAGGACGGAGCACTGCAGTGGGCATCCTCACGGGGAGCCACACTTGGGGTTACTGTGCAATCCCCACGGCCGCGCAGCCATGACTCCCCAGGGCCAGAACACCACCAGCCTGACTCCATCCTGAGTCCGCCGCTGTTTTTGAGAGTTGTAGAAATATCTCTACTCGCCAATTACCCTGAATCTCTCTCTCTTTTTTTAAATTATTGATTTGTGTGTGTGAGAGAAAGAGAGAGAGAGAGAGAGAGAGAGAGAGAGAGAGAGAGAGAGAGAGAGAAAGAGAAACATCAGTTTGTTATTCCACTGATTGATGCACTCCTTGGTTGTTTCTTGTATTGCCCTGACCAGGGATCAAACCCGGAACCTTAGTGTATCAGGATAATGCTCTAACTGAGCTGCCCTGCCAGGGCCACCCCGAGTCTCTCTGTGGTAGCAACACTCCCAGAAGACAAGGGAGCATTGGGAGCATGACACCCACACAGGTCAGGTGCAGCGCTGGGTGGTGGAAAGAAGTGTCTGAACGGGAGCAACGGGTGTCAAAAAACAATGCAGTCTTTGCTCTGAGCACTTCCCCCAACCATAAAAGCCCACACAGGCCTGACGCCCCAACCCTGGCACTGGCACTGTCTGGCTCTCCGGGAACAAGTCTGTCCCCTTCCCTGGGTTGTCATTTCCTCATGTGTCCAAGAGTGACAAACATACCACCACCCCCTGGTTACAGATGAGGTCCCAATTACATCACTATAAATATATACCTATACACATATGAATTCAAAGGTGTCTATAAGAATGTCTGACAAAATGTTGATAAAGCTTTTAGTTTTGGAGAGAAGAATTTTAAGAGACACTTATTGTGCTTTTGTACTGTCTGGATTTGGCAGAAAGCACACGTGCTCATCTCTAAAGCACGTATCTCACTACTGCTCAGGCTGCCGTCCAGGAGGGCACGACCAGCGAGAGGGCCCCCGCAACAGTCAGACAGCAGGCCTCAGTCCTGGGGTTTCATGGACTAGGGGTGGGACGGCCCAGGGATTCACGGCATGGGTTCTGGAGTCAGGATGCCTGGGTTTGAATTTCACTTTTGTGCTTTTATTGGCTCTGTGACCTCAGGCAAATGGCTTATCCTCTCTGAGCTTCAGTCTCTTCATCTGATAATAACAATAACTATCAACAAAGTTTTTGGTGAGGATTAAATATATTAACAAAGTGTGGAACACCTAGAGCAGTGCTGGTGTATCCTGGGTGCTAAAGAAAACAAGAGCTGACACTGTTATTGCCACTACAGTCACCATCAGCCCAACGGACCTGGGCAAGACAGTGCTTCCCGGGACTCCCCGGGCGCCAGCAAGATGGACGGCGTATGATCGACGACGACTGCGGAGGCTCTCCCATCAGCACCCATTTCTGGGAAGCAGACCAGGTGGCCGGGCTTCGGAGGAAGGAACAAGTATGTGTTGAACACACTCGTGGGCCTGGCACTCGCTGGTGCGCGGGGCGTCCACAGAAGCGGCGGCTGCTCTTAGGAAGCTTACAGTCTCCGAGGGGATCGCTGTCCTTCCAGAACCCACCAGAACACAGTACCGACAGCGGAGGCCCAGCTCGCAGACTGGTGGTGTTCCAGAACTGCCCTCCTAACGAGCTGTTTGAAGCTTAGAGGCAATTTTTCCAGAGGAATAAAGCTCTAAATTTTGATTAGGTTCCCAGGCCCACCCATAAAACTTAATTTAACCTACAATGAAGCTGAAATATGATATACATGAAGCTAAAAAAAAAATGTTGTTGCCATAGTAGTAATTAAACAAACCAGAAAAACAAGAGATTTAAAACAATCTCTCTGGGGCTGCTGCTTGAGTAAGAGGATTAAACATTGTAATGAATATTAAATCACAGGGACGTGGCTGGAATATGGGGGTGAGCTGCTGATGGGGAGCGTGGGACAAGGCTCCAACCTGTCCTCCTACAGGCCCCCGTCCCCACAGACCACGATGTAGGTTCCCACATGCTTCATGATCACGATGGATCTCACCTGGTTCCCAACCGTCTGTTCGCAGGTAGGCAGCCAACTGGAGTCCCATTTCCGAGGCAGGACGGTGAGTGAGAAAGAGAAGGTGCGTTATCTGTCAGTGTCCCTGAGCCACTGCAGAAGCCAGGCTTAATGACTTAGTTTGTGCTCCTTCCGCCTAAGGTCACAATGAGAAACTTCCCAACAATGGAGAGGCTGGGGCACAGACTGTTCACCGTCACCGGGGTCCAGAGTGCGACCAACACCTCGAGTATGTGTTGGTGTCCTGACTCCGGGACTGGACATCACACACACCACTGGTGATTACAAGCTGACCTCAGGCAAATGCCAGCCTCCTAAAGCCTCAGTTTCCAGGTGAAACGGGGGTCACAGCACTAACCACTCAGGGGTGTGAGATTCAGTGAGGAAACAGAGCATGGCATGTGGACAAGGCATCGTAACTGCTGGCCACTACTGTGAAGTCTTACGTTCACCAGACAGAAACCTGGAGAGGGGGGCTCGGCGGGTGCTCCTCCCCACACGGATCACTGTGGAGGACCTAACACACAGGTTTGCCAAGAGCAAGTTAGAGGATGACCTACCGCGTGGGGCCACACCCAGAACTGCACACAGGCTACTCGTGAAGACATACGTGCCTGTAGAGTACGTTTTAAATACTCTGGAAGGACGGAGCTGAATTCATCACAGTGGTTGTCTCTGAGGAGAGGGTGGGTTACGGTTTACTTTGGGGGAACAAAGGAGACTTCAACATTTACTGGAATGTTTTATTTCTTTGATTAAA